TTAAGCAACTTCCAAAACTCTAGAATTGACAGAGACATCTTGCTGCCTGGACAGCCACCCAAAGTTCTGTAATATTGGGGCACCCATCTTCAGCCTACATGTCTGTAGTTTCTGGCAGACTTTTTCATGAAGCAGGAAATTTCAAAGACTGTTCCACCTGTATTGGCAGTTTTCAGTCATTTTCTTCTGTGCCCTGCAGAATGTCTAGCAGACTCTTTCATGAAGCAGGAACCCCAAAGTACTGTCTAACCTTTAGGCAAGTTCATAAGTCATTTTTCTGTGGGTCCTGCATGTCTAGTTCATACAGCATACCATCAAGCAGTCCAGATAAGAGCAGTTTTTTTGCCCAAATGGTTAACCAACACCATAAGGAGCCTCTTCAGTACCCATCTTCCTCTTGAAGTAATTATTGCTGCCAGGAACAGATGTGTCTCACTGTTATGAAAAGTCCCAAGTTTTTAAAACATTTTAAATGCCATGTTCTGCAAGTTTTGGAAAGGTTTGAAGACTACCTATCCATTTGAAATATATCTCTACATCTAGAAGGCCTAACTAACATGACTACAAGCTTGACTATTATAGATGACTATCTATTAACCTGTATTTCTTAATTATACATTGCATTTTAAAATGAGCTGCACAAGCACAACTTCTTAATCAAACAAAATTTACCTTAAATTTGTATCAATAAATCAAGATCCAAACATTTATAAACAATCATTTAGAAAATCTGGGCATAGTTCTCTCCAAATTGCTTCTTGCTGTTTATTAGGCAAAGTAAATTTTTGAGGGTATTCAAGGTGACCTTTCAGGGGGTCTTGGTCCCATCAAACCACATTAGTCTGGAAGGAATCCACAAGTTCTCATTCTCTGTGGAAACAAAAGCAGAACCTCTTTTCCAAAGCAACATATCCTTAGACCTAAATTTTGGAGTCAAGATATCTTTAAATATATTTGTTGTTTTAGCTCACAGCCCAAACAGTAAAAGTCTCTCTGTACTTAGCTCATTCACAGCCAAAATTTTGAAAGAAAACATACTAATATACATAATCCAGACTCTCTGTATATATTCCATCTTTTTGTGGTTTATTTTTTTTACTCCTTTAATCTATGACTTACTGTTTCTTTAAAGACATTATTTTTTAAACAAATTACTTCTTTTTATAACTGTCTATATTATTTTTCTTCTCTCTCCCAAGCCTACTCTGTGGCTCACTTAGAGGTCTCTTTCATCTCAATCTGTCTCTATTGTGTATCTGTAATTCTTTTCTGACCAGGAACAGTTCTTAAAATGCTAAGCATCGTGACTAAAACTAAGGTTGCTTTGCCTTTTGGCTCCATACAACCCAACATGGCTGAGATTTGTTCACTGCCTCTGAGACTGCCAGAAGGGAACCTTCCTCACCACCTCAACTCTGGGTAGCACCTTGTAGCTTGTAAACCCTCTTTATCTGAGTAAAAGCTAAATCCGCCATGCAGAACAGTGCAAAGCCTAGAAGTATCTCTGTATATGGCAGTGGGAATCCCCAGCCTCTCTTGCCTGTGTAATCTCAGCAGACCTGATCCCACTCCCTTCCCAGGTAGAGGGTACTGAGCCATTGGCATGGTCTTAGCTATTTTCCTCCCATCCCCGAGTGGGCACACAAGCATCTGAACCTGAAGTGGGTGGTGAGCAATAACCCCAAATGTTTGGGCACCATTCTGTTGGTGGAGATTGCTTGCTCATTCCCAGCTGCCCAGACCCAAAATACACAAAGAAATTATATTAATTAAAACACTGCTTGGCCTATTAGTGTATGCATATGTCTCGCTAGCTCTTACATCTTAAATTAACCCGTCTCTATTAATCTGTGCATCACCACGAGGTCATGGCCAACCAGCAAAGTTCTGGCAGGCTCCAGCAGGTGTCTTTCTCCTTCAGCAGCTGCATGACATTTCTCTGACTTCACCTACTCTCTCTTTGTCTATCTGCTTGGAATTCCTGCCTTGCCCTATTCTGTGCCACAATAGGCCCCAAACAGATTCTTTATTAATCAATGGTATTCACAGCATACACAGGGGAATCCCACATCAGAAACCAGGTACCTTAGCACACATTCGAATATCTCTTTCAGAAGAATCTGGAGTCCCTGCTTGTAATGTCCATTCCAGAATGAGACAGTTGATCATGCTGTATGATGCCAGCATCTTCAGTGAATACCTCCTGCCTCTTGCTTGTAGCACAGTATCAGACTTACTGGAGTATCCTTCCTTTGGAGGAGGGAGGTAATGCCCAACTCTGGGCAGAGTCAGGTCTGCCTGAGTTAAGCACTTGGTGCTGCCTGGAATGAGCTGCCAAAGAGGAAAACCATTTAGCCTATCTCTACTGGCAAGTTATTGTTCCCATTTTGCAGCTCACTGAGAAAACCTGGTGCAGCCCAGTGGCTTACTTTGCATCACATATTCAGTGTGTTGTGGGTGATGGCAGTTCCTCTGTACTCTTCCAACAAAAACTTGTTCATATTTTGAAGATAAAGATGCATTTGGTATTTAGGACCTCAGAGACAGTTTAGATTTGAGAAAGACAGAAATAACATGAGGCTTACACAGAGACATTAAGGCAGAGGCTAGCAGCTGGTGAGGTGTCCTTCCCCCATACTGGCTGTACAATCTTATTTGACTTGTTTCCTTTGTAGCTTAGCTCATCAGAGCTCATTTTCCTAGCTGTGGAAGGGGCCATAATGGAAGCACAATTGAGGGAGGGATCTTCCAAGTATGTCTGTGGGAAGAGAAAGCTAAGGCTTACCTAATGTCTTATCTTTGCTGCCTGAGACTTTGCGTGTGTGGTGCCATGGGTATGTGCTTGTGTAGATGCAGATATGAGTGCATGTGTGTACATATATGTGCATCCTGGAGGCAGAGGGCTACATCAAGAACCTTCCTTAATCATGATCTACTTCTTTTTTAAAGGCAGGAATTCCCACATATTCTGGAGCTCAGTAGTGACAAGCTGGCTAGTCAGTGAGCTCCAATGGTCTGCCTGTCTCTTTCCCTACACCTAGCACCAGGGTCACAGATGTCCTGCATCTGCCTTTGACATGAGTTCTGGGGATCTGAACTCAAGTTCTTATGCTTGCATGGCAGGCACCTTACCATCTCCATAGCCCCCAGTGATTTATATTGACCAGGCATGCAATGCGCATCTTCTGAGTAAATGACAAAAGGAACAGTTTTTAGTGACCAAAGGAAGGATTCCTTCTACCGAAGCAAGACAAAAGAATGGTTCAGAGCCATCAGCAGGCAGCCCAAGAATCTATAAAAGTTTGATTTTGAAGTTCAGGTCCTGGGCTACGTGAGGTTTGTTGTTGTTGTTGTTGTTGTTGGGTTTTTTTTTTTTTTTATGGTTCTTGCTGAAATGGGATTAGAAGTCAGTGGTCTCTGCAGCTGAGGTTCATGATGGGGGTCAGACTCTGTCTTCCCATAGGGAATGTCCTAAGCCCTAGCACCCTGTGGACTTGTCCATGACTTGGATTCATGCCCCTCCCTCGTTCTTTCTTTCTCTCAGTTACTGTGGCCTTTTAGCAACACTGGCTTGCCCAGCTCCATGCGTGCAGGAACTTTCCTAACAGGATCCATCTGCTAATATGCTATCATGGCTTCCAAGGGGACCACTTTTCTTCCTCTTCCTCTGGATCTGATGTCACAAAAGTGGTTGTGAATGGTGACTGTCTTGCTAATTGGAAACCTCAGAGAAGCAAGTGAAGGCACTTTGACAGGGCTGCGTAGCCTTCTTGGGTGGTGGTGGTGGAAGGGGACTTTCTAGGGATGGTGCAGGATCCCCACAATGCAGTTGGCAAGGAATAAAGAGTGCCGGAGCAACGTTTGAGTCTGACATCCTTCGGTACCACAGTATTGTGACAATCACCCCTTCTGGACACTGTTCCTTTGATTGCACTGAGGTCCGCTTTAGACTTGGTTGGTTCTCAACAGGCAGAGGTTTCTCCTTGTGTCAGGGATACCGTTAGGGACTGCATCTGCAACCACCGGAACGTCATGGGGGAGTCTTAAAGCATGTAGACTGACCCTGTGTCTCATGTAGCTTTATTATTTAATCAAAACAGGGCTGAGACAAAGAGCAGAAAAGAAAACAGGTGCATTTCTATGCATGTATTTTGTATATATGTACAACTTCGTTACCTTCGAAACTTGTAAAGTGCATTCTTATCCTTAGCCTGCAGCAGAGGGCAGACTTTCCTACCTAATAAACATCCCAATAACCAACTGTAAGGGCCTCGAGACACACAAACTTCCAGACACAAAAATGTCCGGTCGATAAAATGGTACACTTGCCGGGTGACTAACACCAGTGATTTAGGGAAACAAGTGAAATCCTTCCCCTGTTATTAATGTGTTCATCAGCTTTCCCAGAGAAAGGCCCTCATGGCCATTAAATCCGGCAGCGATTCCCAGTACTCACATCTGCTCCAGGTGAAGGAGCCGCGCTTAGCCTTGCACTGCCGTGGCCAGTAGCAAATAGGTCTGCAAGCTGACAAAGTGTTCTCAGGATGCTGAGCCCAAGTCCAACCATGAAAATCAAAGTTTTGTTTCTCAGGGGATCCTGGAGGAGGTTTGAGACAGGAAGGGTATGAAGCTGAGGGCAAAGGACAAGATTTTTATAAATGTTTTGTAGGAAGCACTTTCCTCTGTCTTTTTAATAGAGTTGGGTCTCCCCACCCTTCCCACATTTATTGCATACAAGGGTAAGATAAATATTCTTTGCACCTGGCATTTTCGAGCCAAGGAATTCTCTAGGCAAATTCATGCAAAGCAAAGACTTGACCTTCAGATGTTCCAACTTAGAGGGAGATGTTTACAGCAATGCCTGTCGTTAGAATTCTAATAGTGCCATCCACAGGGTTGATCACTCACACAGCACTCGGAAACAGGTCCAGGAGGAGAGAGATGCCCTGGTTGATGGTTTTGTGATGATTTGTTTGTCCTTCTCTTCTTCCCTACGACAGTATGAAGAAGGGACAAAACGAAGGAAGCCTGACTACAGCAGTGTGGACCTCTCGGAAGTAGAGTGGGAGGACCGGGATGATGTGGTAAGTCCCCCTTTTCAAGCCTCATGGGTGAGGGCTTTGTTGACCAGGCAGGATACCCCAGAAGCTGCTGCACAGGACTGTGGAGACAACAGACCTTTCTGCGGTAGTTGCAGTAGGATAACTCTCCCGACAGTCAATTGGGCCAGTTGTGCAGTCTGCTGATCCTATGCCCAGCGGGCACTAGTTTCCTCTGCAACTGATTAATCCCACCTTGGACTGAGGACAATTGTCAGGACTTGCCTTACCATCTTCGAAGAATTCTGGCTGGGCAACAGGAGACAGTGAGAACTAAAAGGTCAGGACATCTTATAGGCCAATAAGGCAGCCTCCCAGGTAGACAGAATCCGCTTGTTAGGTGTACATGGACACAATTCTTGTTTCTAAAGAGCAGCAGAGCAGTTTGCATGCCCACTTTCTCCATGTGTGGCCAGCCTCACACCCACACCTGTACCCCCATTTTCTGTCTCTCTACCCTTCCCAGGGGGATGTTGAGGGAAGCCATTTGACATCCCACACTATCTCTCATGCTTTATAGAAGCAGGGCTGGCATCACAGGTCCCTTGTTGCTGCTTTCCTTGTTTTCCCATCCTCTGCTTCCTGAATGCTCTCAGCCTGACTAAGTCCAATCTCAGACAGAATAGAGTTGCCATCCATTAAAAGCTACCGCCTCATCCAATCCTACCTGTCACTGCTCTGACATCACGTGGGGTCAACGACCTGGAAGAGTTTGATGTCTTCTATTCCTCAAACATTGTGACCAGGATCCTGGTGGATCCTTGGGCTTAAACTCATGTGTTTGGTGTGGACAGTTACACTGTCAGGATTCAAATCTCACCTGCGTGGAGTCTCTTCGGCTCTGGAGTGCGACCATTCCTGACACATCTCCTGGTCTTCCCAGATGCTTTGAAGATTGGACATATTGATAGATTGAAAGAGAATAAAGTGCTTACACTGTTGTGTGACTATGTGAGGATTCTGTGAACGGGCCTCTGGTTTACGGTTTATGGTTGTGGCCTCCCATTATGGTTGGAGGGTCAATATCAGATTCCCAGCGTGCCCTTCACTGTCATCTGACTCAAGCAGCTCGGTTCTGGGTTTTCACTCTCGGAGTTACCATTTCTCAAGTCAGGGCAGGATTCTTCTTATGTACAAATCAGCTGTCTTTTGCTTGCATCCTTGACGGCAAGCAGTCCAAGGGGATTGAATGTGAGTTCTTTCAATATCCGTGTGTTTGACATAGGAAAATCCAAACTGCCATCTCTACTATGCCCCAGTGATGGGGAGTTTTGGAATCAGTTGAAAAACATTCTTGTGTGGTGTGCCTACATATGGAGGTGTGCCTCATAGAGGCCTGCAAAACCGTATGCTGCTGGGGAAGCTTGGAGTAAGTAGCAAAGTACAGGCTTCAAGTCAAAATGTATGGAGGATCAAGGAAGCAGAACTACTTGGCAGAGGCGGCAAAGTCGGCCTGGCTGCAGAGCGCCTGAATGGAGAATCCTGCTTCTGAGGGACAGCAAGGCTCTTGTACAATTTAACAAGCACATTTAGAGCACAGACCCTGAATACTTCCAAAAATGATGTAATATCAAATATATTATTTAAAAATTTGCAAAACTAGTCTGGCCAAAATTAAAATAAAGGGGGCGGGAAAGGACGGTTTATAAAGTACTTGCTGTGCAAATACGAGGATCTGAGGTTGAAGCCAGCCCCCGTGTACAAAGCTGGGCATAGATGCTGCAGTTCCAGGTGTAATCTCAGTACTGGGGACAGGGAGCTTGGGCTAGCCCCAGGATTTGTACCCCAGTCCCAGCAAGAGATCTGTCCAAAAGTCAATGTGGGTAATTTCCGAGGAACAAGACCCACTTTTAAACTCTGACCTCCCATACTCATGCACACCCACTCACATATGTATACCTACATATATGTGTGCCCACACAAACATACATACATACACACAAGACAAAAGTAGACCACACAGAGGAGTGTGCATGGGACTTCTGTTGTCACTATAGGATAAGTTAGGTGTCATGTCAATTACTATAAAAAGGCATCTTTAGGGGACCCATGTGTCCCCTAAATGGACCTGAAATACACACGATCCTATCTGAGTCACCAGTGAGGAAAAAAAATTTTAAGTAAAATTATATTAATTAAAAAAAATTGTATCGTCCCTTCTCGTTTCCTTCCTCCAGTCCCTTCTAGTCATCCTCCTTCCAACCCCTCCTATGTTCCCCCAACTCTCAAGTTGATAGTCTTTTTCTTTGATTGTTACTGTTGTATGTGTGAATATATGTGTGTGTAAGCATGTGTGTGTGTATATATATATATATACACAACTTGATGAGTCTGTTTTTGTTGTTTGTGTGAATATAATTTCAGGGCTGAAATTCCTAGAGATGGCTGAAAGAATTAAGGATGATTTTCCGTTTGGTCTTGCTATGTTTTAATCATTGTTGAACTTTCCCCCAGTGAACATTATTATTTCTATAAAGAGAGAAGGCTCATATAAGTAACAATAGCTTGTAAATAAGGAGCTTCTTTTATACAACGTACTTAATACCTTCAGTGTAATAAAGGATGAACTCATTTATTTCTTATTGCAGTCTTGTCAAGGATCTGTCCCTGTTTTCCAGTTAAGGAAACTGAGGCAGAGAAATTAAGTCACAGTTCAAAGGCAGGCATCAGGCTATCTGACCCCTATGCTGTGTCCTTGACACACCCACTTTGTGTGTCACTGGAAAAAGCCTCAGAATGCCAGAGTCCTTGAGACTTTATTTGGTACCTCAGAAACGTGGTGAGCTCTTCCAAAGTAAATGTTCATCCCCATGGGGTTATTGTGGGCTCTTTGAGCACAGAAGGGGAGCCTTTCTTGGCTCGTAGTGGGAAAATCATGGGGGACTAATATACTGTACTTGTCAGCAGGCACCACATTCACCTAAGCCACAGGTCCCAAGTTCCTTGCTTCAGAGTCACGAAGAATGGTGATCAAGGAAGGTTAGCAGAAGGGCAAACAAGGGAAGTTTTACTAAGAAATAAAGTGATAGGATTCTCCCCAACCCCCACCACCTCTGCAGCAGGGAGAGGTCTTGCAAATGAGCTACCAAGTCCTACTTGGAAATGGGCCACATATAACTCATGCATTCAGGGCAAAAATCTTGTTAGTTTGAGTGTATGTGGGGAACTCTGGCTAGTTGACTGGTCAAGTGAATGTGGGCAGTCTCATGGTTGAAAGGCCCAAAAGAGCTGAGATTGTGTAGACTTCCTTGTGTAATGTCAGGGACCTTGGAGCTGGCTATGGCTCACCCAGCATATTTCCCTTTATTTCCCTACACCCTCACTAACTATAGGATGTCTATCTTGCTCTGAAACCTTGTCAGTGGTGTAGCCACAGCACTATGGATTCTGTCTGTAACCCAGCCGACACCCATTCTGTTGCAGTGCAAGCCTTCTCCTGCTGGGCTGAGGAAGCCCACACTTGTTCCCATGACAAGCCTCATGGCCCACGTCTCCAGAGCCCTTTCTTCCCAAAGTCCTATGAACATCTCACACTGAGACATATTCTAAGCTTTGATTGCATATATTTTTCTTCTTTACGTTATTTTCTATTTTTCTAAATCTCATGCCTGATCCCTTGAGCCCTGATACCTAGAGAGCCCAAGATTTCATTTAAGGGAAGATTGGTGGCTGGGGCTCTCTGTACATACTATCTTCATGTACCAATTAAATGCTTTTTTTTTTGCTGAAGAAACAACTATTTATCTGGTCTGTCTCATATCCCTTCCATCTGTAGGCTGGGCTAGGTATCTTATAAGAAGGTAGGGGCTTGGAAGAACAAGCTACCTGGGACTCTGGAAGTCAAAAACCCCATTCTAACATGGACAAGACTCCACCGCAGGATAGTGAACTTGCATTGTAGAAGGAGACACAACCTTCTGTCCACTATTATACCTTCTGGGGAAGCTTTCCCCAGTGGGCTCTGCTTAGGAGAGAAGAATAGCTGACCTTCAGAGGAATGAGCAGCCAGCCTTAACTGGAATATTGTACTAGAAAAGTGGGTGCTTTGATGAGTCACCCAAGCTGCTGATCCCCCAGGACTGCAGGGAACACATGGGACTGAGGTACCAGGTTGTACCCCAGAGGCTGGGTAGGCTGAGAAGTGACTAGATTGCTGTGTCTCCTAAAGGAGAATTTGCCTTTTACATTATCCATCCCATTGTGATGAGAGCTGCCTCTCTGGCCATTGAATATCACACCTAAAGATGCCTGGCATCTGGTGGGGACCACTGACATCCGACTTGCTTTTCTTGGGGTGTGTTTAGTCAAGCATCTATGTATGTGATTTTTAATGACAGTATAATCAGCTAACATCTGGACACACCAAAAATTATTTTAACATTTTCCTCTGCCAAGTCATTTTCATTTCCCCAGCTGTTGATGATTACAAACCCAGGCAGTGGCTAGTTCAAAGGCTGCATAGAGCAGCACCGTGGCCAAGCTTTTCCTGCCTTCAGTGGGGGAGACAGGTTTGCTATTGCTCATCGCTCTGACCTGAGTTCTGTGACCCTCCTTCAGTATGGGGCCCACCAACTCCTAGCATGATATACATGGGGATTCTTGGCAATATGCAGCCTGTTAGGATAGAAAAATGACTTTTTTAGAATGTTCAAGTCTCACAAAGTGCATTCCAACTATGAGTCTCTTGCCTCCTCTGATAGTAAGAGCAGAATTTCCCAGAGATCAAGTGTACGGAAGAGCTACTGGGAAGGTAAACCCATAGGCCATGGCACAGTCAGTTTCTAAGCCTGTTCTTTAAGAAATCAAGAAATAAAATTATATAATTTATACTAATGATGAAGTAGTTATTTTTATCTTCTGATTTAGGCAGCAGAGGTTTGGAACTTGTGGGGTATGTGTGTGTGTGCACATGTGTGTGCATATATGTGTGTGTATGTGTGTGTGCACCACAAGCATGAAAAAGTCCTTTGAAGCCAGAAGAGGATATCACAACATCTGGACTGTAGTTATAGGTGGTTATAAGCTGCCCAATGGGGGTGCTCAGAGCCAAACCCAGGACTACTTCAAGAGCTATAGGCATTCTTAATCACTGAACCATCTTTCCTGCTCCAAGAACTTGGGCTTAAGAGTTGGAGATCCTGTGTTTCCTTGGACAAGCTTATTAGCCTAAGGTGTCAGTCTCCCTTCTTGTCAAATAGGTATAGAAATAGAAATAGAAATACAGAAGACAGTTCTTAGAATTTTCAAATTAGTGCCTGATCCACCGGAAGAACTCAGTCAACAGTAGCTATCAGCAACAGGAGCTTGCCAATAACCTGATATTTACAGTTTAGAAAGGAGTTTTGGATCTGGGTGGCTTCACTCAGGGTCATTTTTGATTGAACGAATAACAGAAAAAGACACTGAAGCCCAACAAGATGAAAGAATAGCTCGTATGTGTCAGCGATGAGAGCCTCGCTCGCTCGCTCGGGAGCCCTGACGCCCCATGTTGTCTCCTCTTGAGTCTGTCTAACTCATGGAGAGTTAGGGACAGTAACTTGAAATCTGCAAAGATAAGGGAGATATCACAAAAATCCACCCAGTGTGCTCTGACCGATGCGGGAAAAAAAAAAAAAGGAATGGAAGCTATGGAGACAAAAAAATGCAAAGGTATCCTCAGCACGAGCTGCATTTTTCTTGTGGCTCATTGTCCAAGCAGCTAGAGAAGTTGGTAAGAGATTGGATGCTGCTGCCCAGTCATCTGGAGCTTGAGTTCTGATTCCTTTAGCTGGCAGGAGGTACCTGACGCCACACCCAGGTGAGGGAGATGGCAATGCCACTGATGGCAGCGATAACGAGGATGGCAGAGGACAACTGAGGCACAGAAGGCAGTCAGCCTGTGCCTGGCCCTTGTCTGCTTATGCCCATGTGGTCCTTACTACAGCTGTATGTGATGGGAGGGGGGGCTGTGCTCAGTTCTGTTTGGGCAGCAGAGGAAACTGAGGCACGGAGAAAGGAATGGTTTGCCCACAATCATCAAGTCCTGTCCCCAGGGTCTGTTTCTAAGTGACAGCATTCTATCCTCCCTCACAATGAGGAGCTTGGGGAGAAGAGCTTGTCATCCTTGCAAGACTAGAATAACTGTCTAAACGTTTGCCCCCATAATGCATCAGTGACCCCGGCCTTGGGCCCTCCCCGGCCCCATGCTAATTTTTCTCTGCTACTGGGGGCTTGGGGGTAGTTTGGCAAGGAAAAGCTGACATAATCTCTGACTTGCCTGGGGAACTTGAGAGGAGAAGGTCCCAAATGGCTTTAGGCAGGCACCAGAAAGAGGAAAAATGAAAACCATGTTAAAGATAAATTGAGCCCGTTCTTAAAAGTTAGAAAGTAGACTTAATTAGGAGCAGCTCTCTCCGTCCAAAACCACAAAAGTTAAAATGGGAAAATATTTCCAGAAATGCCCATTATGTGTTGTTAAAAAATATCTAAAGTAAAATATATGTTTTATTTTATACATGCCTCCAGCTAAAAATCATGCTTTTACTTCTCTCTCACAGAAGACGGGAATGTGAACCCAAATCTAGACAGCCCTGAATCAAATTTGAGGTGCTGCAAGGCCTGCAGTTTCCTATCAGCCTGATCTCACTAAAGCTCCCCCAAAGGAGGAAAGAACAAAAAACCAAAACAACACACACACACACACACACACACACACACACACACACACACATCCTGAAGCGCAGACAGAGAAAGAACAGTTCCCGATGGACTGGCTCCTCCGCCTTTGTTCCTATTCCATTAAATGGCCTTTTCTGTCATGGCCCCTTGCTGCCCATGCAGGCACATCCTTCATCACCCAGCCTGTTGTCCTCCTCTGAACTTGTAGAAGGCCACAGGTAATTAGATGAGGTCAGCCAGGGGGAGGGGAGGCCATCCAGGCTCACTGCTCCAACATGGGACCTCCAAAACTCAGAGGCAGGGGTCAGTACTGTTCACTGTCTTGTCAGCGAGGCTGTTAATTGGGTGACCATCTGAAGCTGATTCATGCTGTGGAAAAGGAGTTACTGTCTCCCCAGTGCCCCCCAATCTTTTCAACTACTGTTTAGAAAAACATCTTTAACTTGATTATCTTTTGAAAAATGATCTCTTTGTGACAAATCAGTACCCCTTCTGAAAAACCAACTTGTCCCCCAGAGACATTCTCGCTTCTTGATAGTTTTAGCAGATTGTCTAGAGTTCATTCTCTGACCTCTGGACTCATCAACATCCTGAGGCCTCTCTTGTGACTACCCCTAAGGGGTTCACCTGGGCACCCCAAATCACAGTTGAAAATTGTCTTTGTTTACCCGCCCATTATCCAGTAGCCTGAGAGGTTCTGGGGTTCACTTGTGCACCCCAAATCAGAGTTGAAAGTCATTTGTCCGTGTTCACCCCCTGGAGAGCTGTTTTAGAGCTCTGAATGCGTGTGCAGCCTTATCCTCAGAAGCATGAAGAGTTGATAGGAATTCTGTCTGGACTTTGTTCAGGGAACTTCTGAGCCCGGCACCCAGTGACACAGAAACCCAGGGAGGCACTAATTCCCAATTTCATTTTCTTGTTCTAGTTACGAAATGCCATGGTGAATCGGAAGACAGGGAAGTTTTCTATGGAGGTGAAGAAGACCGTGGACAAAGGGGTACCTTTTTCTCAAACATTCTTGCACTTCATTACAACAAACCAGTGTGAAAAATTAGCTTTGAAGGTTCTCTGTGGAATAAATATCTTTCGCCGAGCTCATTTCTCTCTTGTCTTTACTTATCTCAAACAAGATTCATGTAGTACTATTATTAACCAGACCACAGTGTGTCCATTTATTTTTATTGATTTCTGAAACATGTCATCCAGCAGACTAACCATGTTTTCTTTTCTCTATGACTTTCCCCCCCGATCTAGAAACGGGTTTTGGCGATGACAAATGACTACTATTATACAGACATCAAGGGTACTCCTTTCAGGTAGAGCTGACCATAACCATGGACATCCCATCAGACCTATCAGTGTGTTTGTACCCAACCTGCTGGCCTCTCAGAGCTCACCATCTGACGATAACAAACACCCTCCCAAGAGCCGGAAAGAGTGAGGAAGGGGCTTTGCCCAGGCTGCTCTTTGTCTTTGTCCTAGAATGGGGAAGACGGTTCAGGCCCACCCCAAACAGCCACAGTTTCTCATAGCATTCCCAACACAAAATCTCCGGGGCTCCCACCAAGGGTGGAGGAGACCAGTTCAGAGGGTCACCAGGTTCTGAATTCACCATCTCACTTGCTACCTCCTACGACCCTTGTCTCACCTTTGGTTTTCATGACCCAGTAATCCTGCAGGAGGCATTTCATTCCCACCTTGTGCTTCCATCTCAGCTTTTCTGAATGGCCTTCTGTGTTGTCTCTCCGTTACAGTCCTAAAAGTATGTCTTTGCCTAATGGTCTCCTTTCCCATGTGTACGGAGTATTCCAAAGTTGCCTGCCCCTGTTAAGCTCAATGTTGTTATGTGATTTGTAGAAAAAAAAAAAAAGGAAACTTCTTTTAGCAGGCTTGCTTCATGCTCCTGAGCTGGTATCTTTCAGAGTGAAGGGAAAGTTAGCCAGGATAGATTAATCTGAAAAGTAGATTCTAACATCATTGTCACCCACTACTCAGGATTGTGACCAGATGCAGATTGGAACCAGGAAGACTCAAGGAACACATGAGCCACTAAGTGGCTTTGCCAAATAAAGGGACTGATTTTTGAAAACAGTCTCTAACTTTAGACCAAAACAGAACGGCATTTAAATCAAGCCAATAAGAATGTGGGAAAGCAGTTAGACTGGGGAGGGGACCAGGCTGACAACCAGCCATGTGGCTGTGCTCCTCATTTGAGTGTCCCCAGGCTTAGGTTTGCCCTTGAGAAGAGATCAGCTTTTTTGGGGTCTCAGAGTCTCTGTCTAAGTTCAGAACAGAGGTGTGTAAGGTGGTAGCAAGGAGCAGGGTGTGTGGCCTTGGGAGGACATCCAGTGGAGGGCTTTCTGGAGGGGCAAGCTGTTGGCCACAAATCTTGCAAACACAACAGCAGCCAATTGCCGCTGGCATTTCCAATCAGAAATGACTTTGAAGCAGCTGCTTGGGCCTAAGAAAAACCAACACCCACTATAATCAGTGAGGTTTCTGAACGTAAACTGTTGGGAAAATTGTTTACAGAACATGAAATGAAAATGTGAAAATGGAAAATAAAATAGAAAAGAAAGGTTAGCCCACAAGTCTGTGCCAGTGACTGCCCTGGACTTCAAGGTCTGCTCTGTCTCTCTGCACAGTTTAGGTGTGGCGCTCTCCAGGGGCCATGGGAAATACTTCTTCCGAGGGAATGTAACCATTGAAGAAGGTAAGGTGCAAACTTGGGTTGGCTTCTCCGTGGGTATGGGGATGAAGGCCCAGAGCCAGCTCTGGGAGAACTGGAGATTGTGTGTGACTTTCAAGCCTCTGGCTAGTGATTTGGGCACCTGACTCAAATCACTGCCCTCTGAGTGTGTCTTTTCTTGCCAGTTTTGTGTGGGTTTCTGAATGACAGGAACCCCAGCTGGCTTTATTATATTGTTGTACGCATAAAGTAGTGGAGGCAAATTATAGGAATCTCATACCACCGTTATTCTTGTCATGCATTCAGTGCTAGGGGAAGAATTAAATTAATGTAGAAGTCAAGTCTAAGGAGAAGCAATTCCAAGAAAGATCTGGAAGCCTTTGCTTGGAGCATAGTTGAGCCACCCGTCTCAAGGGCTTTGTGTTATCCTTCACCGGGGGATAATGAGACAGTTGAAGAGATTGACAGGAGTTGGGAAGCAGAAGTAGGATCTGGTAACTCTAAGATCTTCCATTTTCATAAAGCGCAGGTGCACAGCGACTCCCATAAACATTAGCCATCCCAATCTGTAAAGGCAAAGTATCTGTCACAGAAATTGTTCTTTCTATCACCAACAGCCCGTTGATCCTAAGCAGTTGCCGTTTCCAACAGTAAACATTTGGAATTAGGAGTGTGCTGTTTAACAGGCTCTTATTCTAGAAATGACTTTGAGTAAGGCACTTTTGCTTAGCCTGGACTTTGGGTCAGATCCATCTGCTGATTGGCCCTGAAGTGCTTCACAGCCACTGGGTTTTATCTGACGAGGAAACCATGATGTCTGATGAAGCATAAGGGTTAGGAGGGGTCCACTCAGCACTGGGCAGAAGCAAGGATGTACCCATCCAAGAGCCAAACATATGGTCTCTCTTCTCAAAGACACACAAGAGGACTTGAGCCAACCTTGTGGCCTAGAGAAGATATGCACTTAAGGATGTGTTCTTAGAAGCCATGTTTCAGTTTCTAGAATTTTCTAGTTCTGTGGGCTATGTATAGCTTTGAGGGCATCAGTGCCCCTGCAGCAATACAATTCATGCCCAAGCCATTTGAGATGAGATGGAGGAAGTGCCTCGTGGTCAGAGCAGGAGAGGTCTTCAGTGGATCATTTGCCTCTCTCGTGTCTGTCCCCCTTAACCTGTCTCTCCATTGCTTGTCCTCTCATGTCTCTCTGTCTCTGTCTGTCTGTCCCTTTCCCTTCCTCTCTCTTTCTCCCTCCCTCTCCCTCCTCTCTCCTCCCATCCCCCCCCCCTGTTGTCTATTTTTCCCTCTCCATCTCTCATCTATCTGGCTTTTTCCCTGCACCAATGTCTTTTCAGTCTTTTGGACCATTTTTCTGGTTACTGTCCCCTCCTGTGTGTTCCATAGCAGTTAGGCTGAGCCATTGCTTGAGAGAATTTCAGAACTAAGCAAGAAATTAGTTTGAATACTTAGCAAGGGGGCCAAGTGTCTGATTATCCCCATAAATGAGATCAGACCTTCTTTCCTTGGTCATCTGTAAACAAAAGGCCTCAGCCTTGCCAGCTCCCTGAGGAAAAGAGCTCGAGAAAACTACTTTCCCCGAGGCTGCTAGTCAGAACCCTCATCTGGAAGAGCCTTGGCCTGACCATAGCTCTCTTCTGTTCCTGGAGTGGACAGTTCTTTGAGGATGGCACCCATATTCCGGGGTTCTGTAGCTAGCTCCTCACATGGATTGCCTATGCCTGCTGCTCTGAAGATGATAAACAGCAGGATTTACTCAGAATTGTGAGAGGTCAGGACTGAGGGTTTAGCTCAGCGGTAGAGGCACCACACCCTGGGGTCAGTTCTCAGCACCCCTAAAACAGTGTTGAAAGTTGAAGCCTGAGCTGGTCTTCCTGCTAATATTATGTCTCTTCAAGATCTCCTCTGACACATTGCATCTTTTATATAGTTATATACAATGATTGCTGAATAAATTGGGTGCATGTCGTTAGTCTCAGCTTTCCTGAGTATGGTTTTATCAGAAGGGGAAAGGACTGGAGAGAAATTAGATTTGCTTGGTATTCAATAACTCAGATCTAAGAAATGATAGTGGGGTCATCCCTGGGATCGCATCTGTGAGTACCATGATGCTGAGCCAGGGAGAGCTTCGAAGATGAAGGCAGAATAAATTGCAGTGAGAGAAGGAAGAGGAATGGACATCTTCAGCTGGCATCCTGGGAAGGTGCGGCCCAAGGCCTCTGCCCTTATCACTCCTGTAGTGAACACTCCTTCCTGTCACAAACATGGCTCACATGGGTCTTTGCTTTCTCCTTGGTGTAAAAGTCACTTTTTCAGTGATGCTTTCCCTGATCACCAAAGCAGAGCTTGGTCTGAAGCATTCTTACCCCTGCCGCTCCCTGCCCCTCCCCATATGTTCTTCTCTGCCACTACCAACAGATCAGCTGTTACAGGAGTTCCAACTTCATTTCTGTTTCTTCTGTCACTAGAAATTACGTCCCACGGAGGCGGGCTGTTTGGTTCTTGGGTTATTCCTAGCATATAGCACTGACTTATTCCTGCCTCAGGGAAAATAGTGAAGGAAGTGAGGGAGAGAAAGAAGCAGGAAAGGAGGGAGAGAGGGAGAGAAGGAGGGAGGAAACAAAGAAAGAAGTGAGTGAAAGGGTTAAGAGAATGTGTGTGCATATATATATTACATATATATAAAATATATAATATAAATTATAAAATGTATATCTCAAGATTGCCCTAGGAACTAATCACCATCATACTTAAACATCTTGTAGAGTTCTTGAGAATATTTCTTGGATAGGAAAATTGATGTAACTCAAGGATTGACAAGATATTTCCAAGATAGATAATCCAATGTTAGCAGATTACTCCATGTAGAACCAAGCAGTATTACGCTGGGCATCCAGTATTTTAGACATCTGTATTTGACAGGATTAAGGTATTAAAGTCATTGGAGAAACTTGTCTTCCTGAAACATTACAAACATTATCCGAGTACCTAAGCATGTCTTAACTGCTTGTCTGCAGATGACCCATTGGAATCAGAGAGAGAGGGGGTGGCTCTCCGGAATGCCTTACCTCATTGGTGCTACTGTATCAGAACACATGAGGCTATAAGTGCCCTATAAAAGTTTACTTAGCTACAGTTTCAGAGGCTTAAAGTTCAAGATTGGGTGGCCCTATTGGGTTGACGTTCCGGAGGCAGCACAGCATAGCAAAGGTGGGAAGGAATGTTCCTGTATGTAACAGGGCCACTCATACAAGTGAGGAAGCATGAGACCCATTATGGTGACCCCTGCATCAATCTCTTCCTAGTAGTAAACCAATCACCTAATGTAATGGAAATCAAGTCTCACTCTTAAAAGTTCCTACTTTCCTTGGGAGGTGGGGGTGAGAAGGGTGGGGTGGGAGGAGGGAAGGGAGTGAGAGTGGTGATCGCTTTGTAAAATGAAAAAAAGGATTGTACTAAAAAAATTCTTACATCATAAAAGGAAAAGTTTGTCACAAGGACCCAAAGAAAAGTTCCTACCCTCTTAATGCTGCCTTCAAGTTCCAAACACACACACACACACATACACACACACCCCTTTGAAAGACAAACCATATTAAAACAATGGCATATATCAGGAAGTCTGTAGTATTCTATGGATCTCCTCACTTCCGAGCTAGCCTCAGCTCTACTAACTAGTTTTCTAGACCAATGGCTCAATTTCACTCAGAATCCTTCAACATCTACTAGCCTTCTGTGCTAGCTGAACGTAAACTAGTATTGACAGTCTCATACAATTGAACCTATAACATCACTCTCCCAATTAGGTGCCATTCCTGTTTTGTGCACGCAGAAGACACGGAGAAGTAAATCTGTTAGCCTCACACGGGAGTTCAGTGGCCTGGCCCAGTTTTCAGTCCAGACTTCATGGAGTTCCCGAATCTAGCTTTATAGCTGTTCTGTTAGAAACATCCTTCTTTGTTGTGAAGTTGAGATTTCTCTGGGATGAGCACAGGGAGATATGGTGGTGCTGGCCACAGCAGAGTGAGAACGTAGTCTGGATGACTTTTTACATACATCCAGAGCCCTTGATCCCAGCCTATCCCTTTAGGGTTGATATCTACTGTGAACACACTCCCTCGTAAGTGCCACACTAGAGAATTTGAGATCTACTGGAAGAGGAGGAAGGCGGCTGCTTAACAATGCTTTGTCCTTGACTTCCAGGCCTGCATGACCTAGAACATCCCGATGTGTCCTTGGCAGATGAATGGTAAGATTTCATTAGTTGTTTATCAGCTTCAGGATTCCCTGCCCTCTTAGCCAGTTTTCCTGGTCCAAACACAAAGTGGGAAGATGCTCTGAATATTTATATGTTCTCCTTTGGGACCCTGTCACATCCTAGGTCCTACTGCAACACCGACCTGCACCCAGAGCACCGCCATCTGTCTCAACTGGAAGCTATTAAGCTCTACCTCAAAGGCAAAGAGCCTCTGCTTCAATGTGAGTGTGCTCTCAAAGCATGCCTCTGGGTGGGGGGGAGGGCAAGAACTGCAAGCCACGAAGGAACCTTAGGTTTCAAGAGCAGCTTTGCCTTCATACGGACTGTCAATCATACCCAGCCACGTCTCTCCCTGTAGAAAGGCACGAGAAATAATGGAGGTTATGACCACAGTACTCTTAGTCACATTGGCCCTGCACTCACAGGCTGTCTAGTTAGGCAGCTGGGTAAGACGGAGGTGATAAAGATGGAGGTGGACAAGACTGCACATCTCCGCTATTCCAGGCCTTCTACAGATAAGGAAGTAAGGCTGACCAAAGAATGACCTCAGGCAAGATCATAGCCTAGGCCTCATGGTTCTCCAAGAGTCGGGTTATCATGGCACCTGTTGCCTTTTATTCTATTCTAACCATTTCCCTTGGATATGCTCTGTGAGAACTAAATTGCTAGTGATCGTGGCCTACGGGTAGGAGGGAGACCCCCCCACACACACACACTGAAGGGCAGGAGCTCTGGATGCTCCCCTGAGGCCCGAGCAGACCCTCCCCATGACAAGCTAGTTCCAGTAGCCACAACTTGAACAGAGGGAGTCACCGAAAGGCCTGGCACCTGCTACCCTTCCATGAGAATCACTTATCAATGAGGGGAAGTCTGCTCGGCATGTGTTGTCTCACAGAAAAACCAGAGCAATCCCGGCAGAGGTGTTTGGAGACTCTCCAGCCGCACACTGACAGTTTCATGGGCTGGATTTGCTTTAGGGGTTATCCTCTGGTAGGAAAAGGATCAGGTGGGCAACAGATGAGCCCAATTTTTCATTTCTTTGAACTTGTTAATTACTGTATCAAAAATATCTTAAGCATAGCGATGTTATGAAAATGCATTTTTAAATTGAGATTTTTTTAAAAAAATGTATTGTTTATGGGTATGGGTGTTTTGCCTACATGCACCACCTGAATTTCTGGTGCCCACAGAAGCCATAAGAGAGCAGTGGATCCCCTAAACTGGAGTTACAGATGGTTGTGAGTCACTGTGTGGGTGCTCAGAATCAAGCTTCGAGCCTTTGTGAGAGCCAGAGCCATCTTCACTGATAGCCACATGGCCAGCTCTGAGTCCATCTTCCTTTAGTCCTCCCTTAGCTTCCTCATATGTTGTCATGTTTGCTTCAAGTACTTTTTTAAGAAAGCAATATCAGAGTTAGTACTGAAGTCTTTGTGTTTCCCTACCCTGTACCCTCTTCTTCCCCCAAAGAATGACTTTTCCCGTATTCGTTCACCGTTTCTCATGTCTCTCATTCATGCTCCTACTGTTGAAGTAGGTTTCCATGAGCTGTGTGTGGCATTTTTTCATTATCTTGCATATTAAACTGTATATACAGAATTTACCACCCCAAACTCCCAAATCCCAAATCTGAAAATTGTCTAAGCAACACTAATGACATTAGAACAGTCAGAAAATTCATTTGTTTTATGGACAAAATCACATTAAAATGTTGTTTGTAGTTATGTGCAGATTTTATATTTGAGGTATATATGAAAAAAATGAAATTTTTGTTTCCATCCATGTCCTAGCCCCACATCTCAATGTGTATGCCAAATGTTATAAAATTCCCCAAAGTCTGAAATATGAGCTATTTTGGTATCAAAGATTTCCATGATGAGACCTTCAGGATGTAGACATACTGATATAGTATATGAGTCACTGCATACAACAATAGTATACTGTGCAGATATATGTACAGTTCACTTTTACTCTTCATCCTTTTGAAGTCTGTGTGGGTCACTTCTCTCCATTGGGTTTGTTCACACTATCCACAGGATCCCACTATATAATCGCATCTCAACCATCGTCCTGACAATATGTGAGACTGATTATAGCGCTTATCTCATCCTGCTCGCGGGCAGACTGAATCCTGGCCCACCTCTGAATAGCCTCTCCTAGACTCATGATCACTTGGCCTCTGCAACAGTGCTTTACCCAGCAGGGACAGCTATCTCCCATTAAAATGAGGAAAAGTCTGAAACGGAAGAAATCATATCCTACGAGTCCCCATAATTGTCCATTGTGGTATTCCATTCTCATACCCTGCTGAATGCAGAGAGCTGAACTGATGGCTGTAGTGAGGACCAGAGGCAGCTTTTCCGGGAGGACTCAGTATGCTGGCCCTGGCATGAGCTGGGAGCTGGGAAGAGACGGGAGAACGCTATAGCGTGCACACCCAGCCTCACTGCTTGCTACTGTCTAGTCCAATTGCTTGGGGCCCAGGGGTATTAAGAGTGTATCAGGTATCAGGCTGTTTCATATTTGCAACCAGTGGGAAGTTAACTCATAAAGCAACACCCTGTAGAAGAACATAGCCTGCTGACCCCACAAACCAGCCCCATGAGCCGCTATGGTGTCCCTCTTTGGAGTCTAGCCAGAGCCTTCTTGTCTTCTGTCCTTCCCAATAGGTGACAAAGAATTGATCCAAGAAGTCCTCTTTGATGCTGTGGTGAGCGCTCCTATTGAAGCCTATTGGACCAGCCTGGCCCTCAACAAATCTGAGTAAGTGGCTGTCTGCATCCCCCTTTGTGGATATTTCCTCACAAGCTCCCCCAAAACAAAGTTATGTTTTAAGGAACTAAACTGTTTCAGAAGCCTGGTGTTGAAGTTTTCTAATTTCCCCCTGAGCTCCAAACCACAGAGCTAGAACAGAAGTAGTGGCATGGGTTTGGATGGCAGGCAGGCTCCGGGGCTTGACGTGGAGTTTCTCTGAGTTTTAACATGACATGAAATACAGTCTGCAGAGGTAGGGTGACACTTCCGACAGAGGGTTGGGAGAAGGCACTTCCTGCCTTGCCGCAGCCCTCCCCCCCCCCCCCCCCCCCCCCCCCCCCCGGGGGGGGGGGGGGGGGCCCCCCCCCCCCCCCCCCCCCCCCCCCCCCCCCCCCCCCCCCCCGTCACAGATTGGAGGGGACTTGGGAGGAGGCCAGGGCAGGCCAGGGGAAAGGGATAACACTCTTTCAGGGGGGTGTCAGTTACTGCTCTGTGGTTTTGTATGTGAAGTGGAAGAGGGGGTGCGGGTGAGGGAAATCCAAAGTAGTTGATGTCAAAAACGAGGGCTAGAAATGTGTTAGCGGCTTATTATTGCATTCCTATTGGCTCTCCCGAGACCCTCAAGCAGCAAGCGTTCAGTTCTCTCGGTCCATGTTCGCCATTAGTTTCTTCCTTTGCCTTTCTGTCTGGTGTATCTGTTGTTCATTCTTTCTCTGCCACCCATCGAGTGTGTGTGTACTCTGTGCACTAGCCAGGCAATGGGGAAGCAGGGGTAATGCAGACGGAAGACAGATAGTGACTGCCATTAAGGCTTCTGCGGTATGTGGAGCCATTAACACTTGGGATCCCGACAGTGAGCAGCAGACAGGTCGACTGACAAGACCTGGAGTGGAGGGGGCGATAGCACCAGTCGAGGGCAAGGGGAACTTCGGGAAGGGAACTAGCGAGACCTAGAACCACTAGATGAGAAAATGCTTGGCACAGTTTAAGAATGAGAGGTTACTGCGGAAATGTGGGGGGCACGGAGGGGTGGTGTCAGGTGCCGACAGGGTGCTGCAGCAGGCTGGGCAGCTCTGGACCTTGAGAGTCCAAATAGAGAGTTTGGAATTTCTTTTTTAATTTATTATCATGATGATGGTGGTGGTGGTGGTGATGGTGGTGGTGGTAGCTGTAGTAAGGATTAAACCCAGTGTGAGGCACATATGGGGTGAATGTTCTACCACGGAGCTGTATCCCTTTCCTCAAGATTTTGGATTTTATATTCAGAATATAAATTTAAGAAAGAAATTTTAAGAAAGGAATAGAACAAACAGATTTGCTTTTGTTTCTTAAAAAAAAAACCCTCTCTATTACTGTATATAAAATAGAGTTTAATGGGGAAGAACAGCAGCCCAGGCTCCGAGATCCCCAGGTCTCTGCTATACATGTCCGGATAGTAGACACGCACAGACGAAGCTTCAGCTGTTGAGATCCTCCACGGCCACCCCAAGCCCTTCTGGTGGCTTGTGGTGTGAGCCAAGAGAGGCTGAGGCTCCCACTTGCGTTCCCAGTTTGGAATTGAACACTGGGCAGCTAGTGATGGTTTTCAGGATAGATAATACTGAGGGAGGGGCAGGCACTGGCTAGACATGGCCAAAGCCTCTCCAGACACTGGCGCTGGACTCTCACCAGAGAAAACTTCAGGTGGACAGTCTAACCTGAACCTGGGGCTCCATGGAGAGACTGCCATGCCCATCATTTTAGGGGCCACCCTCTCACCTGCGTAGATCATATACCTTACGAGCCTGGGAAAGAATCACAGCTCACCCTAGCATTTCTTTCTCTCACAAATACATGAGTGTCTCTTTTAGGGTCTTATGAAACTCTAAATTTGGAGCAAGGATTGCTGACTCATTCCTCACACATGCTACAGATTTCTTAAGTGGTAGCTTGTCCTGCTGTCCACATCTGTAACTGATTGGATAGCCTTCCAATTTGGTATAGGCTATAAACAGAGCCAAATGCATCGGGTTGGTTTTTATTCAACCCTCACCCCCACCCCACCCCCACCCCCAACACATACATACTTAAAGGTAGTACTGGCCACCTTGTCTACTGTCAAAGACTAAGAAATCAAGAACCTTATATTGAATAATGGCACAGACAGTGCTTTGGAACAAGTTGCTACTAGCATCTAAGACAGAGAAAGAGCCCAAGAATTACCACTGTAGTCATAATTTGCTTGTTGGGAAAGCTGTGTTTATGGAAAGGGACTTTTCCTTTTCTAAAATAAGAATGACATGCTGAAATCTCCCGAAGATCATGTTCAGACACTAGGTGTGCTCTGGAAGGTGAGGCACCGTTGTGCTGAGAGTCCTTTACAAAGGCAGTTGCTGCAGTTTCTACAAATGACACCTTAGGGGTGTGGAAGGAGCCGTTGTATTCCTTGCTGCCTTCATGGCTTTAACTGCATGCTTGACGGAAGCACACAAAGCCAGGAAGAAGTTATCTTGGCTCACAGTCTCAGAAGAGCTCAGTTCGTGGTCACCTGGCATCCCGGTGGCAAGTGCAGGAGGCAGGGGGGAGCTCTCCACTTCACCATAAATAGGAGAAACGGCGGGGGGGGGCGGGGGGGAGGAACCAGGGATGAGATTCCCCCTTTAGCTCTGCCTCCAGCAATTTCTTTCAACCAGCTACTGACATCCTGAAGTTTCCAGAACTTCCCAAAGAGCACCACCTCCTGAGGACCAAGTCCCCAGCCTGTGAGCATTCTGGGGAATATTTCATAAACATTGTTTTACTTATCTCTTTGGTGGTGCTTTTGAGAATTAAATCTGTACTCGAATGAAAGCTATAAATTCTTTTCTGTCTGTCAGCCTTCCACGCTGCAGGCTTCTCCAAAGCTGGTCCAACAGCTCCAGTCCTTTCCTTCCACAGGGAAGACCCTACTGACATTCTTTAGACCAAAAATATACTTGGTAGCCTCACAGTAAAAACACATCCTGTGGACATTTTCTGTCTCTCCTCTGAGTCTCAGGCTGCTTTCTCCAGGCTCCTACCTTGAGATGAGCAGTGTTTATGGCTGCAAGTACATTTCCCCCCTCATTCTGTATTTGTCGGCATGGGCTTGCTACATCTTTCCTCAAAGTCTCTGTTCCTGTAGGTTGTGTCAGGGATAGGAGTAGTCCGTCCTTGGTGCATGCGTGTATGTGTACATGTGCGCCTGTGTGAGTTCTCCTGGTGACTTTTAAAGTTCAGATTTCAAAGCAGCCGTTTGTCAAACATCCTGTGAGTCTTGAGATGTAAAAGCCATTATCTGCTTACTGTCTAAAGCACTCCCTGACGTCTGCTGTTCTGTTTCAGGAATTCTGACAAGGGTGTCGAGGTCGCCTTCCTCGGCACTCGTACAGGCCTCTCAAGAATCAACCTGTTCGTGGGGGCTGAACAGCTCACCAATCAGTAAGTAGGAGGGTCCCTCTGCAGGGCCCAATGAAACCCCTCAAAGCAGAGATTCAAAGGGGGCTTATTTCATTTCTTGAGGTTCAGGCCACCCAGTGCCTGTTGAGAGCCTTCCTCTCTCTCCTACTGTTGGGGCCCCAGTGCACACGTTCACCTGTCAGTTGGCCCTTCCACAACCCTTTGTTCCTCCAAGTCACTGTCTGCTAAGTCATTTAGGACTTAACTTGAGAGACAATGCAGCTGCTGTGTGTGGAACAGCTGGAGGCAGGGATGTGCTGGGCTCCTGACTCACTGTTAGGGCACTCAGATATCCTGAAGCTCTTCCCAGGAATTACTGCCAGGGCCTCAGGTCAGCTCCTGATTTGTTTGTTTCAATAAACCTCTGAGCCTCCATGCACAGCCAGAGAGGACACAGGGCCCAGAGGTGGGCTCTCTGAAGGTACTAGGATTGACGTCATGGAATAGGAACCAACAGTTGCTGAATCTAGCCCTCAGCTTCTTATGCAGTCATGCTTAGTCCCAATACATCAGGAGCTTCCAGCCCTTAGACATCAGATGGGTGTTTTACCTGCATGGGTCCATGGTCTGAATCTCTCCAGAGTTAATTAATACTTCCTCTCAATCTCTCTTCTCTGATACGAGGTCATTGTTAGGTCAGAAACAAATGGAACCTAAGATTCAGCAAAGTTGGAGGATGTGTTTAATGATTAGCCGAGTTCAGAGGTCCCCGGCAAACCTTGGACACCAGACCTCTAGGGACAGTGGTGAATCCACATAGTGGTCAGGAGTTTGAGAGAAGCTGACCCTTAGGGTCTCCAAAGGGAGATGCCCCTTGAGGTCCTGTTCAGCAGTGTTTCTTCCTGTTGGTTGATACCCTGGTACCGGTCAAGCCTGGCACATAGTAGATAGGTCAGTTTTTATGTGTTTGGTAAGATTGGCTTTGGGTTCCTTTTCAAGGTCTTTCTCTTTTCTAGAAGCTCACATCTATAATTTTGGAAGTAAGCTTTCATTGAAGCTTGGCTTTTTAAAGCTCTCCTTAACTGTTTATCTTCAAACAATGCCTTTCCTAGAAAGTAGGTAACCAGAAAGGATGAGAAGTATTGAGCTTCACATTGCTTTCTCTAGAAAAGATCCAGAGAGTGAGCAAAAAGACTGTATTTTTTCTAGTGCTAACATTAAAACAAGGGAGCAATAATAGCAACAGGTTTTCCCCTGGGCCTATGGCCTACCTTGTCTCAGGTTACCTCAATAACTGTGTTGGGTATAGGTTCCCTCCCATGGAATAGACCGTAGAGCCAAGAAAAAGTGGTTGCTCACTCCCCTAACGTTCGTGCCATTATTGCACCAGTGGGCATATCTTATAGGCAGGCCTTAATTATCGCTTGCAGGATTCATAGCTGTGTGAGATTAATGATTGCCTTTCCTTCTGGTAGCGCTTATAGCACCTTCTAGCTCCATGAAGGCTAGCCAATAGGAGTGAAACTTCCACTTGAGTACCAGCCAGATTTCTTCATGTTCTATGCGATAAAAGCTATATGGTGTCTTTAGAAATAGGGTCTTATCATCAGCTGTGGAGAATAACCAACAGCACTGGCAATATTTTGTCATGTTTAACAGAGTCTATAGGACCCCTTTTATCAATGACTCAAAAAGATATGGAGTAGAAGTGGGCACCAAGACCTACCCCTTGCCAAGAAGCTTTTCATTCACGATAGCTACTGAGAGAGAGAATCAGTTTTCTTCAGTGGAGTGGCACCAGCCATATCAAGCATACTACAGGATAGACTGCGTGCTCAGGAGGAATTGGCCAATATAAACCAGACTCATGATTTTAGTACCATTTTTCTCTTCTTTTTCTTTTTAAGAGAGAAAGAACATGAAGTTGTATGCATAAGGAGAGGGTGGGATGTGGAAGAAGTTGGGGGGTAGGAAAGGATACGATAAAAATACGATGTATGAAATTATCAAAGAATAAATAATTTTTTCCACACATACAAATAAGCAAACAAGCAAATAGCAACAATAAAACGTAGCACCTTGCAAATCTGGTGGCCTCGTTAGGTGGACATGATAGACAGCAGACCCCCACTTGAGAGTGACAGGCTACATTTACTCGTGGGCCTCTTTTCTGATCACCTGGACAACACGGGTTATAGTCACCTTTGGTCATTGTGATGATCAGATCCCTGCAACCTAAATAGTCATCCCTGCCTCAGTGAGTGCCAAATCCATGGCATTACTGAGACCTACCATGGATGCCCATTGGAAGACTGGGTATTCTGAGTGAGATGAGGGCAATTTTATCATTTTTCTAAAAGAAAATAGTTCAGTGGTAGATTCTGGAAAGGAGTGTTGTTGGTGAGGGCTAGTAAGCAGAAGTAAGCGCTCTACCAAAGCTATAGCAAGTTGGCTGTGGTAAGTCCTGGGGATCCATAGCACAATGGGTCATTTACAAAGGAAGATAGTCACCCCTATCACTGAGGGAATCAGGAAATTGGGGAAATACTTTAAAAAAAGAAAACTGTTTCAAATGCTTGCTGAGCTTTTATCTCTACGTAGGATAATACTTATCCTTTGTATTAAACATGTGTGGAGTGCCTGCTGAATGCTGAGGCCTGAGGATGCTGAGGAGAACAATGTTTCTGTCTTTACAGAAAACTGAGACCTGACAATGTGGTTGCAGGGACACCAGTTTCAGAATTGGGAACTAGAAGGTGGCCTCTTGTGTCAAGAGTTTTCTTTTAACAGAGTGGTATATACATCTTCGGTGAAAATCAAAAAAAAAAAAATCTTGACCAATCACATCCTAAAACTAAAGATTGATTTTATGAATTGAATGCTAAGTTCATGAAACCACCAAGTCAGAACCTAGTAAGGACATAATTTTCTCTTTGATCCATGGACTGAAAATGAAGGCATTACAGATCCAAGTGATGGCCATTTCTACACTTAGACTTTTTTCCTGAATGGTCGTTCTTCCTGAAAGATACTTGCAAACAGTGCAAGTATCTCTCTATCAGCAGAAAGTGCCCAGAGGCTGTAGAGTAACAGTGCTCTCTGGAGGAAGGTCAGGTCAACAGATACTCATTTGGACTTCAGAACAGGAGTCTCCTTCTCCTCGGAGAAAGGCCCCAAGACTCTTAGTGGGAATCTGAAACTAGATAGTTCCAAATTCTGTATATTGTCTTTTCTCTACATTCACACCTGTGAAAAAATTAATTTTAGACCAAGATCATAGTAGGCAATTATAACAGTATAATATAATAGAAGTTATATGCATGTCAGTTATTTCTCTTAAAATATCTTACATCTTTGCTCTCTTTTGGATGTTCTGAGATAAGGTGATGTTCTGAGATAAGATGATTTACTGCTGTGTGCTGAGAGGATGTGGGTTGAATAGTATAGGCCTTGGAACATAGGCTGTGGCCACTTTAACATAAGCACTGTCGTCACAAGCATCTTGAATCACAGGTAAATGTCAAATGACTAAAGGGTCAGTAATGTATGCAGCATAGATATGTTAGGCCAAAGAGTGCTCATGTCCTTGGTGGGATGAAATGACACTCCAAGAATTTTCATCAAACAAGCACATAATTTAAAACTCACAAGTTAATTTTTTAAAATTCCCACATATATATTTTTCAACCATGGTTGACTGCCAGTTTCTAATACACAGAAAGCAAAGCTGTAGATAAAGAGGAATATCTTGATTTCCTTTCCAACTGCTAAGGGAAAAACAGCTATAGCAAGAAATGAGTTAATTGCCTCACAATTCTGGGTTCTAGTCAATCATGGCAGGGAAGTCATGGTAAGAACTTGAGAGAATGTTCACATTACTTCACAGTCAAGAGCAGAGACAACAACAGGTTAATGAATCCACACAAGCGCTAAGCTTACCTTCTTCATTTTATGGAGTCTAGGATTCTCCCACGCAGTGAGTGGTTCCTCCTACAATTAAGATGGCTCTTCCCATATCAGCTGACATAGTCAAGACAATGGCTCACAGACATTCTCAGAGGCTAACCTTCATCTCGACAGTCACTCACAGTTCTGCTCAGAGCTTGCCTACTAGGCATTGAGTTGACAAGGAACACTAGCTATCATGATGACTATATATTTAAGGCTCTTTAGAGAGATGTAAAACACTGAGAAAAATATTGTCCACAGGGCTTTGGGGAAAGAGGTGTGACAATGTGTAAATTAGACCCAGGAAAAAAGCAGGCTATGTGACCAAGGGGCTCAGAGACTTGAGTGAGACAAGAGCTTATGTGTGTCATGTATTTAGATTCACGTGGGATGGGGACAATTTTTGAAGTGTATTTTGTGGTGCATTTGGAACTTTGTAAACAACAAATTCATAATGTACAAACACAGACACACACACACACGCTGATAAGTTGGGGAAGTGACAGATACAGCCATTACAAATTGACTCTTTCTGTAAATAGATGCACAGATTTTTTTAAAAATTAACTTGTGCTCCATAAGTTCTACACATAAGGCAGCTACTAAAAAGATCTTTAATAAGAAAAGTGATTTTGACTTTGAGAGGATGCAGTGGGAAAGAGAATGTGTATCAGTTGTGTTCTCCGTAGAAAAAAAAATGCCATGGGCAAGGGACAGGGAGGCCAGGAAAGAAGAGGGGGCCATGAGGTCATGGGAGCCATTCTGTGTGCCAAGAGAGAAGGAACATAGACAAAGGAGAACCTGAAGGTCCTAAAAGGGGGCCTCTTTTGCCTCCCTTACACCTGTCCCAGTTGTTTCCCTAATGTAGTGGAAATACATTCTCAGAATCTGACTGCCAGACTCTACAAAAAAAAAGAAGTTTTTGAGGGAAGTGTTGACTGGGGCCTCCACTGGACTGAAGAGGGCAGGTTGGACTTCTCAGAACCAACCCTGGTCCCTCCTGACAAAGGCTCTTGGATCTACTGTGTGCATCTTGGCCTTGAGTGGTACCATCTTCTTGTTCATTTTCAGAGACTTCCTGAAGGCTGGAGACAAAGAAAACATTTTCAATGCAGATCACTTCCCTCTCTGGTACCGACGAGCTGCTGAACAGCTTCCGGGGAGCTTCGTCTATTCCATCCCTTTCAGCACAGGTGGGGCAGGTCTTTCTGTTTCGCTCTGCTGGCCTGGTCATTTTGGGGGGGTTGCCTGAATCCTGAGAGGAGCCAATTTCAGTCTTCAGAGCTAATGCAGAACATTGGGTCAAGTCTGAGCAAGTTACTTGTTCCACTCAAGTGACAGCCTCCAATGTAGTGTACAAATGGTGCCAAGGACATTTTAAGAAACAAAATTGACATTTTGCATCCTATAGAATTTGAGGGCAAACTTCTCAGTCAATTTGTTTTCAATATCCATGTAAAAGAAGGTTCAGGCATCCTTTGCTAGAAACTTCTGTGATTTATACCCTTAGACATATACAATCTTTCTCTGTCTCTCTCTGTCTCTCTCTCTGTCTCTCTCTCTGTCTCTCTCTCTGTNTCTCTCTCTCTCTCTCTCTCTCTCTCTCTCTCTCTCTCTCTCTCTCTCTCTCTCTCTCTCTCTCTCTCTCTCTCTCTCTCTCTCTCTCTCTTCCTAGCTGACTTGGTCCTCACAGCATAGCCTAGGATAGCTGAAACTTAATGGTCATCAGTTCTCCTGCCTTGGCCTCCCCAGAACTAGGATTATTTACATCTGTGTACCCACATACTCAGTAGGACCAAGGCTTTGTATACTCTTCACTCACTGACTGAGGGCTGATGTAACCAATGAGATCCATAGAACAACGAATTTTTATAGTTTTAAATTGTGAAAATTAAAGTTACCCAACCCTCACATACACTGAAATCCAAGTGTTGGCTTAACCATACTTAGATGGAAGACACATTGGGAAGTTCAGTTGCTCCTGGATTTTTGTCATCTCAGGCATTTTAACTTTCAATATACTTTCTTTAGAAGGCTCTAGAACATTCTAGAAGCTTCAGAGAATGAGCCCCAGTCTCGTTGGCCTGCTCTGGAAAGTTTCTCAGTGGTTGCACTTTATTTTAGGACCTGTTGTGTGTCAACCCCTTGCAAACTTCCTAGCTCAACCTTGTCAGACAAAAGTTCCACAGTGCTTGGTGTCACCTGCCACTGTCACTCATTCCCGTGAATGTCAGTGTCTGCAGACAGAGTGCCTCTGACACTTACAGAGACATGATGGCAGAGGTCTGATGTAGATGGCAGAGTAAGAGGTACCCAGAAGAAGTCACTTATCTTGTTCTGCAGTAAAGTGCCCAATCAAAGCACTCTGAGGAATGGCACACTTGTTGGGCTCACAGTTGAGGGGACCCATTCCATCACGACAGCAAAGGCAAAGCGGTGGGCGCTGGAGTCCAGATGGACAAATTACACTCAGAGCCAGAAAGCAGCAATCAATAAAAAGTGGAGCCAGACCATCAATTGAAACCCTTTTCCCCCAAGCAACTCTCTTCCTCCACCAGAGTTTCACTTCTTCAGGGTTCCAAAATTCTCAAACAGTACCCTCACATGGGAACCTAGTGACAAGCATAAGCCTTATTGGGGGACATATTGTGTATAAGGGTCCTTCATTAATGGAGAGTCTCAAGGAAAGGTGGCTTATCAGAGATGAGATTCTCATAAGGGGTAGGATTTGCAGGAGCATAGCTAGTGGGCTCTTCTCTAGTGCGAGGGTTTTAAGCACACTCTCTTCCTTGAGCTTGGATACCTGTACATGTGTAGTTTCTCATGTATGCATCTCAGGTTCCACAGGCCCTTAGTCAGACCTCTCCACACAGAACTTTCTTGCTGGGCATGCCAACCAGGATACTGTAAGCACTTTGGTTCTACCCCAGACCTGTGAACAATAGCATTTAAATCTCATTTACTTTCCTTTATCTTAGTCCCTTAAAGCAGAAAACAATAGTTAGCTTGCTGACCTTCTGAGTCTGCGAGGAGCCATCCAGGCCATGACATGGGGACTTGCACTGTGGCTTTAGGATCCCCAAAGTGCTCCCCATGTATGCTCACATGGGGATGATGATCCCTGCTGCCAAGTTACATAACCATTTTCGGTGTTCTTCTAGAATAATTATGCTTGAGGGGAAAAAAAAAAACGATTTTGGTTAATTAAAACTGTCTTTGTGTTGAGTATGGAAACAGGTTTTTACTGAACATTTAATCTGATTACATAATAAAAAAATTCATGGTAAAACTGTGAATAATATACAATCTTAGAAGATTTTCTGGCTACTTTTCACTTGGGTTTCTTTGAGAGTCAAGGGAAAATCTATAAAACCACCAGATACCTGCCACTGGTAAAGCTGCTTGTATTGACTACTCTGGGATGACCTGGTTATTTGGACTTGATCCAAATAAAATTCTTAATTACTTTGGTCATGAGTTTATTCCAGTTTTGGTTTGCCTTGCCTAGTTCTCAATATTTCTTTTTGAAAAAGAAAACAAGAGAAAAACAAGAAGAAAACCTCTTCCACCCCCAAACTAGCACACACAGTTTATGAACATGAACGGATCAGGTCAGGCTGTTCAAGGGACAGCCTCTTAAGGGGTTCTCAGCTCAATGGATTTCATTCAACTCAATTCTTTGAGCTCCTTTTTCTGAGGCAGACACCAGATGAACTGGGAATTCAGAATTTATGCTCATGATCTGTAGTTAATGGATATTAGAACTGATTTTTACTAATACAAAACCAATAGTTGGACTCTACTGTTATCTATTCTAGTTATCTCCCTGTGTAGAGTGTTTTTGTTTAGAAAAATTGGTTTTAAAATTTGAAGCTCGCAAACCAGTTAAAATCTATATAGCAAATCAGTTACGGCAGTCAGCTTCCTCTAACTTCAGAGTTTGCTTTCATGTGGCCTTGTTTCCAGCAGTAACATAAAGGAGACCATAGATAGGAGCAAATGCTTCAGTGAATACAAAGCCTGTGATGGCCTCACCATGAAGAACTGGATTCTCCCCAGAGCAGGTGGCAACAACTCATCCTGTTGCTTCTAGAATCTAGGGCAGAGTGTCCACATCCTAGAGCATTCGGGCTCTGGAGACAGAGTCCCAGCACTCTTTGCAGATGGATGACCATAGACCAGTATGGTTGTTTTCTATCCATGGGCCTTAGAACTCTTCATTATTTTACTATGGTGAGGTTTTTTTGTTTGTTTGTTTGTTTTCTATAGGAGCAGTCAACAAAAGCAACGTGGTAACAGCAAGTACTTCCATCCAGCTCCTGGATGAACGGAAATCTCCCGTGGTGGCAGGTAACCAATGATTTTGGTCATCAGGTGTGTTATGAGCAGGGCTTCTGTTTTGTCTAGCACGCTCACACCCCGAAAGGTAGGTTTCAAAAAGAGAAAACAAACATTTCTCCTTTAGCTCTGCGCTAGCTCTTTCACACTGAGGTGCTAGCGTAGTTTTCTCAATTTGTAGTTTGCGAGCCTTTTGGGGATTGAACAACCCTTTCACGGGGGTCGCCTGAGAACATCCTGTATATCAGTTTTTACATTACAAATTGTAACAGTAGCAAAGCTACAGTTATGAAGTACCAATGAAATAATTTTATGGTTGGGGTCACCACAACATGAAGGACTGTATTAAAGGGTTGTAGCATTAAGAAGGTTGAGAACCACTATTCTAAAGGCTCATGGGGCTGTTTGCAAAAGAAGGAATCCATCCCAGTGTTCCTGTTGAATCTGAGCCCAGAGGAAATAGTTGGAAAATATAGTGAGAATTTCCTAACAGCAGGTAAAACTTGAAGAATACTGCAAGGATCGTGATGGGCATACAAAGAAATTATAGGTTTTTTTTCAATATATTAGCACACATAACCTGAAATATGGCCTTCTCCTCAGAGACCAAGAAGCATGCATAGGTGCTGGGTCTGTGAGCAGGGGAAAGCTAAAACATTTTACAATTAAGACTTGGGTTGTCAAGGAAGCGTTTTCTCTGCTCTTATCCTATAGGAGCCCCAGCCACCACCTATGGCTGGCTGGCGTTTGTACTGAAAGGCTGGAATCTGCCACAGTTCTATAAAGGCTTAAGACCATGCCTGGCACATAGTCCGTTCTTAATCCACCATTTCTGGATCCATCAGTTGATGGATGTGTGAAATGTGCTAAGCACTCTCCTGATCCGAACTATGTTTACCGAAGGGAGTCATTTGTTTTGGGGGCAGGCTCCCTCATGGAGCTGGACTTGAGAGTGACTTTGAACACCCACGCCTATGTCTGCGTGCTGTGGTAATTTGTAGAAAGGGGACCGAAGGGAGCAGAGGAGCAGAGCTGACTGAAGCACTTGCTCTTTGGCTGGGAATCACCGCTGTTCCCTCCACTTCCTTTCTGACAGGGCCTGTGCATCATAATTATATTAGCAGGCGGCTGAACGATCAGAGGACAGCCACGCTGGTTATCCTTGGGTTATTGGATATGACAAGGAAGACGGTCTTATGTGTTTGACCTTCAGCTTATCTTGAACTAGGCAGACCTACAATTAATCAGCCTGCAGATAGGGGCTCTGAGGATTCATGGCCGCTGTCTTCAAATACTGTCACCTCATGCCTCATGTTCCTTGAGGAAAGCAGGAGATAGGGTCATTTTGCTCAGCAAGATTTATTTTTGCTTTAAGGAGGTCAGACTTGCTTACCTCTGGGCTGTTCCAGCTAGCTAATTCTGGAGGCATGTTATCTTCTGGGGGTTAGAGTCCTAGACAACAGATGTCTGTCCAAGGCAAGGTTAGGCAAAAGCAGCCCATCTGGTTCAGAATTTCTCTTAAAAATTCTTCCTGTGGGTCTTTTCTTCAGTGACCCTAATGGGTGTTCCAGGTCACTTCTGAAGTCTCCTATCCCAGCCACCTCTGTCCCAGTTAAGAAGGGATGTTTAAGTATGAGCAAAAGTTTACTGTTATACAAGTGTATATGCCCTGGCCTGGAAACAGTGCATCCAAGCTAACAGGGAGTACATAGTTTGCAAATGGTTTGCTGATCTATTATTGAGTTACACAGCTGGCCAGAGAATGCGGGCAGGTGACTGTTTGGCTCACCTTGCGGGGATAGGCAAGGCATCTCTAACTTGTTGTTCCTAAGTGTGTATCAACTGGTGCTCATATTCGACAGATAATTACAGAGCAAAGCCGAGAAACAAGGTTTCCCCGGGGAACTGTATTTAGTTTGGACCTTTTAAAGTGGGTGACTACTGACCTTCTTTTCCCAACTGTGTTTGGGAGACGTGAAATAAAACAGCCTCACTTGGCTTTGATCTTGAAGACTGCTGTGGACGCAGCCCCATGATGGCAGTGACCTCAGGGGGACCTTTCTCTCTCCCAGAGTAGAACAGCCTCTTCAATTCATGCCCTGCTTCAGTGGACTTTGTCCCAACTCTCATGTCAATCACCAGGGGATGAGGGTCTGTAGCAATCCACTCCGTGTTTTCCTCCAATTACCCAGATACTGTTTACCATTATGAAATTAAAGGGGCCTTTTTAGCTGGAGAGGCAGCCTTGTTTTGGCAAATGAAGATGAACTTGTGTGCAGGCCTGGTCCCCTTTAGCAGGCCTCTGGCAGCAGATGGGACACAGCCGACCAGCAGGAATTTAGGGTCCCGGTGAAATCCTTGTGTGCAGTTGAGACTTAACTGGAAGAAAAAGTGTACAACCTTGCAAATAGTTCCTAGATCACCCCTTCCCCCGCACTGAGAGGCTGCCCCTTTGCACAACCTGACCTCATGTTCATGTTCGTTAGCTATGTGTGCTAGTTTGGGAGTAGAAAGAGGTTTTCTCCTTGCCTTTTTCTTGTTTTCTTTTTCAAACAAAAACATTGAGATACTCATCTGTCAATGCCACCTTTGAAGAAAGGCCAGTTGGAGTGGGCAAGATTCCACTTGTGCATCAGGCTTGGTGTATAAGCAGGCTCCATCCATCTTCTGGGCCTCTGACAGTACTTCCCAGCCTCCTCTCGAGGACTCTGCCAACTTTCCAGCTGCCAGCAGTGTGCCTTGCTTACCTAATTGCTTTCTCAGGGCAATAGGAGACATGACAGGGCCTACCCAGTCTCTCTAGAGCTTTGGAAACTCCTGTGTGTGTGTCAAGACGCTAATCCATTTTGCTGTTTAGGATGAGACATACAAACCTTGGAATGTAAGATCTGCTTGAGTTTGCTACTCGTCTTGTACCTTGCTCAGTTCATTGTCCTGGGTCAGGAGCGGTCTAAGTCAGGGTTGAGATTATTATTGTCCTGGGTCAGTAGCGGTCTAAGTCAGGGTTGAGATTGTTAGTTCCTGCCTTATTCTCACTTCAGAGATAGCATAAGAGAACAAAGAGGAAAATACATGTATATAAAGAGATGCAAAAAACCAGGATGTATAGGAATGGTGCATTTTCGCCTTCTGTTTCATTCGGTTACTCACTTACTCATTCATTCATTCATTCATTCATACATTCCATAGGACAGGACTCCTGTTTTTGCAAGGCACTCAACTTATCAATGAATAATAACTTTCTGTGTTGACAACCCTTCCCTCCTCACCATGTGCAAAAAATAGCAGCAATGTTTAATTTTAATAGCAATATGGAGGGCAAGAGAGATGGTTCAGCAGGTAAGAGCACACCATCCTTATGGCTGAGTTCAACCCCTGGAACACATGCACACACATATCATAGTAATAATAAATAAAAAAATTAAAAGCCATGACTTCACTTCATAGGACTAGTGAATTTAAAAGCTGTGTAGTCCTCTGGAAGTTCTAGAAGCCAAGGATTGTACTTGTCTTTCTCCCACTAAACCATGGCCAGCTGAGGGTTTAGACTGTGGTGGACAGACCTCAGTGAAAAATTACAAACAAATTGAGATCACAGAAACCCGTTTGCCCCAACTTACTAATTTGCCAGCTCGGGATCCATAAATTATCTAGAGCACGTTGGTATAGTTCTCCACTGGGCTCTCAGTAGGGTAGGTCCACCTTTCTCTGCAGTACTGTCTCTGCCATACAAGGGTGGATAATAGCATGAATGGTGTGGGGGGGACATGGGGGGACCTTGAGACACCAGATGGTGAAAGGGGTGGCCCTGCTGGGGACTCCTCCTGAATTGTTTGTCCTGCCTTCCTAATCACTGGATAGAATCTGACAAATACAATATTCCTAACCTCAGCTATTCAGATTTCTGGGAAAAAATGGTTTTTGCATGTGTACGTGCTCGGCTGGGGCATGTGCAGAGAAGCAGGTGCGTATTCGTGGAGAGGCCTGGGGTTGAGGTACGATACTGTTTTAGTTAGGGTTTCTCTTGTTGTGAGGAGACATCATGACCACTCACTCTTATAAAGGAAAACCTTTAATTGCGTGGCTTGTAGTTTCAGGTTCAGTCTGTTGCCATCATGGCGGGACACGGTGGCACGCAGGTAGGCATGCTGCCAGAGAAACAGCTTAGAGCCCTACATCTTGACTCTGTAGGCAACAGGAAGTTATCTGTGTCACTAGGCATAACTTGAGCATAGGAAACCTGAAAGCCCACCCCCACAGTGACACACTCCCTCCAACAAGACCATACCTTCTCCAACAAAGCCACGTCTCCTAATATGGCCTCTCACTAGGAGCTTATGGGGCCAGCTACATTCGAACTACCCCAGATACTTTCTTTGGTCACTCTCTATTGTGTGTATCGAGGTAGACTCTGGTTGAGTCTGGACCTGGTGTTTTGCTTTGTTAAGCTAATCAGCTGGCTTCAGGAATCCTCATGTCCACTATCACCAGACAGTTTCCTCAGAGATGCTGAGGACCAGACTCTAGTGCACACACCTGCAGAGCAGTTAGCTTGCCTGATGATCAGTCACTCCAGTTCAGACTTCTGCATTTTTAAATATTATTAAAATTTTAAAATAATTAAATAAGACTTTAATTTTTAATAATTAATTAAGACTTATTAATAGCTTGTTATTATTATTTTCACTCTGAAATGTACATTTAAACCCATCAAAATCTAAAGTTGGTGCACTCGTGTTTCATTTGACCTCTTACACACTTGCGGGACATATGTGGGGGACATGACCTGAATAAGTTATTCAAGGCCTATGGGCTTTGTTGTCCCTTGCTTTACAGGAGTACAGGATCCACAGGCCAGGTAAAAGAGCCACAGTACGCAACTACAAGTCAGAGATTCTCACTGGCAAAATTTGAGTTTCACGCCACAATCACACCGTCCCATGACGTGAATGTTTTAAGGATAGAGAAATCGTTTGCTGCCCCATTCAAATGGCATCGATAAACCAAAAGTT